GTCCCCGACGGGGGGCTGCCGGGGGGGGCAGGCACGGCTCTGCGTGCCCGGGGCACTGGGGGGATCATGGCTGGTGACCCCGTCTCTCCCCGCAGGGGTCCTGGGGGGGGGGGGCAGGCACGGCTCTGCGTGCCCGGGGCACTGGGGGGAGCGTAGCTGGTGACCCCGTCTCTCCCCACAGGGGTCCCCGACGGGGGGCTGCCCGGGGGGGGCCAGGCGCTGCTCTGTGTCCCCGAGGCGCTGGCCGAGGAGCTGGCCCAGGCGCTGGTCAGCGTGGGCATGGCCCTGGAGCAGGAGTACGCCTGGGACATCTTCACCAGCATGATGGTGCGTGGGGGGGGGGGGCGGCATGGCCAGTGGGGTGGGGTTAAAGGTCACGTGACAGTGGCTCCCCGGCTGCCCCATGGCTGATGTCCCTGGGTGGGGGGAGCAGCTTTCTGGGGGGTTGGACAGGTCAGGACCAGCCCCCTCCGACTACCCCCATGATAAAAAATGGGGATCCCCCACAGCCTTGGCAGGAGCAACTCCAAGGCCCCGGCTGACTCCTGGGTTCTCTCCCCGGCTCTGAGAGGGGAGTGGGGTCTACTGGTTAGAGCAGGGGGGATGGGAGCCAGGACTCCTGGGTTCTCTCCCCGGCTCTGAGAGGGGAGTGGGGTCTACTGGTTAGAGCGGGGGGGGTTGGGAGCCAGGACTCCTGGGTTCTCTCCCCAGCTCTGTGGCGTGTCCCTTCTGGGCCCCGTCCCCACGTTTCGCTCCCATCCCCAGAGGAAACAATCCAGCTACATTTTCCGGAGCTGGGAGGTGCCGCGCGCCCTGACGGCCGAGATGCGGGCGCTCGTCGTCGACTGGCTCGTGCAGGTGCACGTAGGTATCTGTGAGACCTCTGCCCCCGACAGCCCCGGCCCCCCCCAGGCAGGGACCGACTCCCTGCCCCCCCCCCAGCCCTGGCCCTGGCTGGGTCCCTGGGCATGGAGCCTCTGGGATCACGAGATGACGAGGGGGTTGGGCTGAGTCTCCCCCTGAGGGGGAAGGGCAGCCTAGGACTCCTGGGTTCTACCCCTGTGGAGGATGGTTTGGCAGGTCTCTCCCCTGCCTTGTGGTGCCTCAGTTTCCCACTCTATAAAATGGGCAATAATTCCCCCTCCCCCAGGATAAAAAGACAGCACTCAGTGCCCCCCCCCACACACACACACACCAGTTGCCCTGGTGACCGGTTGCTCTGGTGACGGTTGCCCTGGTGACCCGGTCCCCCCAGGAGTACCTGGGCCTGGCGGACGACACGCTCTACCTGGCTGTGTACCTGATGAACGCCTACATGAAGGTGGCGCGAGTGAGGGTCCCGGCCCTGCAGCTGCTGGGTGTCACCTGCCTCTTCGTGGCCTGCAAAGTGGAGGAGTGCACCGTCCCCGAGGTAAAGCAGGGCACCCGGACGCCTGGGTTCCTCCCTGGGTCTGGGAGGGGAGTGGGGTCTGGTGGTTAGAGGGCAGGGGGGCTGGGATCCAGGACTCCTGGGTTCTCTCCCCGGTCTGGGAGGGGAGTGGGGTCTGGTGGGTTAGAGGGGGGGGGGCTGGGAGCCAGGACTCCTGGGTTCTCTCCCCGGTCTGGGAGGGGAGTGGGGTCTGGTGGTTAGGAGGGGGGGGGGCGGTGGGG